GCAGGTGTGCAGCGTCCGTAACCTTCGGCCCACGGGCTCAAAAGGGCCAGCGCTTCCGTACACACGCTAACTCACGTAGGTGGCTGCCCAGCCAGGAGCTAGCTTTTGTCGTCCACCAAGCAGCTAGGGCGGCATGGAGGGCGACGAGGAAGGCGCTGAAGTGCAGGCGACAGAGGCCGAGACAGCCCGCTCTCCCAGGCTAAAGATGGATTTAGAGACGACGGACCCGCGCCTCTTTCTGATGCTGCTTCCCTCCTGTCGGAGGAACGCCCCAACAGCGAAGCTGATGCGATGGCGGACCCCCTGTCAGAGGATGCATCCCTAACCGATCTGACTTGCTCAGAACGACAACATGTCTCGGCTACACGCAAGAGTGACCCTCTTGACCTTTGGTGCGCGGCTTTTTGTGGGCCGCGGGGGGACCAAACCTGGGCGCGCAAGCCGCTGCTCCTGCTTCGTCTTCAGCCATCTGGGGACCCATCTGTGCCCGCACCAAAGGTCACTCTGGCGAAAGGCCACTCTTACGTCTAGTCGAATGTCTTTGACTGCAGAGCAGTGCATGGGCAGCTGGGGCGGCCACCCTTAGGCCACGGGCCCCTCGCTCCAGGGGGGGCCGGGCCCAAGAAGGGTCCAGGGTCCAGGGTCCAGAGCTAGGTGCTTCTCCCTCCTTTTCCTCCTCTCCTCCCCCCTCTCCTCCTCCTCCTTCTCCTCCTCCTCCTCCTCCTCCTCTCCTCCTCCTCCTCCTCCCCTCCTCCTCCTCCTCCTCCTCCTCCTCTCCTCCTCCTCCTCTTCTCCCTTCTCCTTCCTCCTTCTCCGCCTCCTCCGCCTCCCTGCTCTCCGTCCATCCCTCCCTCCTCCTGCGTCCCTCTTTCCTGCTGCGCCCCCCCGCCCCCCCGCGCGCGGCAGCTGGTCCCAACGCCGCAAGCTCGGCGCGCATGGTCGCTCCGCGCTCCGCCGGCGGCCTGCCCTCGGAGCCCCAGGCCGAGCCTGCGCGGCTGACTGCGTGGGGGGGGAGGAGAGGAGGAGGAGGAGGAGGAGGAGGAGGAGGAGGAGGAGGAGGAGGAGGCGGAGGAGGAGGAGGAGGAGGAGGAGGAGGAGGAGGAGGAGGAGGAGGAGGAGGAGGAGGAGGGAGGAGGAGGAGAGGAGGGAGGAGGAGGAGGAGGAGGAGGAGGAGGAGGAGAGGAGGAGGAGGATGAGGAGGAGGAGGATGAGGAGGAGAGAGGAGGAGGAGGAGGAGGATCGCGGGGTGCGGCGACTGGAGGCACCTTTTGGCACCGCTGTGGGGGGCGCCATCCCAGAGTAGACCAGGAACACGCGGATGATGATGATGATGATGATGATGATGATGATGATGATGATGATGATGATGATGATGATGATGATGATGATGATGATGATGATGATAATGATGATGATGATGATGATGATGATGATGACGAGGAGGAGCAGGAGGAGGAGTAGGAGGAGGAGGATGAGGGGGAGGAGGAGGAGGATGAGGAGGAGCAAATGGGGTGTGGCGAATGGAGGGGCCCTTTGGCACCGATGTGGGGGGAGTGATCCCAGAGTAGGCCAGGAAAGCGCGGAGGAGGAGGAGGCGGAGAAGGAGGAGGAGCAGCAGCAGGAGGAGGACGAGGAGATGGATGATGAGGATGGTGATGGGAATGAGGATGAGCATGGTGATGATGCTGCTGATGATGATGATGTTGATGATGCTTCTGCTGCTGATGATGATGCTGATGCTGCTGATTACGTTGATGATGATGAGGAGCAGCAGGAGCAGGAGGGGGATGAGGATGATAATGGGGATGGGGATTATCATAATGATGATGAAGCTGCTGCAGCAGCTGATGATGATGGGGATGTGTATGATGATGATGGTGATGATGATGATGATGATGATGATGATGATGATGATTAATCATGATGATGATGGTAAGTATGACGATGAGGAGGAGGAAGAGGAGGAGGAGGAGGACCAGTGGAACCCAAGAATCATCAACGATGTTGAAATTAACCGTCCCTCCAAGCTCCCTCTTCATAACGGTTAATTTCCATTGAAGAAACGGCCTCGTTGGAAGACAACCGTTTGACGATCCTGAAGTGTGGCAAAACATTGTTCTCGGGATTTCAACGCCACATATCAACCTGACTGTTGCGTCTTGACGATCCGGAATCGTGTCAGAACGCCATTGTTGGGACTTCAACACCGCGAATCAACATAACTGTTGCGCCAGCAAGCTCCTGAACCCTTCCAAAACACCATTTCTGGTACGTTGACCATGGGATTCCGTGAAACTCTTGCAAATTTATAAACGAATGTGCGCAGGCCTAATGCGAGAACCACACTTTGAAAAGGAACCGTCCTTAATCCGTCAACCTCTTGCAAATTTCTAGAACGAATGTGCGCGGCGCTAAGGCGAGAGCCACATTTTGAAAAGGAGCCGCCCTCAATCCTTGACGCTCTTGCAAATATTAAAACGAATGTGCGCGGCGCTAATGCGAGAGCCACGTTTCGAAAACGACTCGCCCGCAATCCGTGAAACTTTTTTATTCTTGAAACGAATGTGCGCGGCGCTAAAAACTAGAACCACATTTTGAAAACGACCCGCCCTCAATCCGTGAAACTCTTGCAACTCTTTATAATGAATGTGCGCGGCGCTAAAGGCGAGAACCACATTTTGAAAACGACCTGCCCTCAATCCGTGAAGCTCTTGCACATTTTTATCACGAATGTGCGCGGCGCTAAGGCGAGAACCACATTTTGAAAACGACCCGCCTTCCATCTGTGAAACCGTTGTCACTTTTTAGCTTCAGAGTCATTCGTGGTGAGGAAGTCTCAGGCGAAACGCCCGGCCCGCCCTAAAAACTGGCCCTGGGGTGCGACGGGGAGACATTATCTATAAGGAGAAGGAATGGAGGAGGAGGAGGACGAGGAGGAGGAGGAGGAGGGAGGAGGAGGAGGAGGAGGAGGAGGAGGAGGGCGGAGGAGGAGGAGGGAGGGGAGGAGGAGGAGGAGGAGGAGGAGGGGAGGGGGGGGAGGAGGAGGAGGAGGAGGAGGAGGAGGGAGGAGGAGGAGGAGGAGGAGGAGGAGGAGGAGGAGGAGGAGGAGGAGAGGAGGAGGAGGAGGAGGAGGGAGGAGGAGGAGGAGGAGGAGGAGGAGGAGGAGGAGGAGGAGGAGGAGGAGGAGGAGGAGTGGGGGGGAGCAAACGGGGTGTGCCGATTTCAGGGGCCCTTTGGCACCGATGTGGGGGGCACCATCCCAGAGTGGACAAGCGACACGCCACGCCCCGAAGGGGGGAGGAAAACGCGGAGGAGGAGGGAGACGAAGAGGACCAATGTAAAAATCCCAAGACTCATCAACGATATTGCAATCAACCCTCCATCCAAGTTCCCTCCTCATATGCCCCTACAAGGGTCCATTCTCTTTGAAGGAACTGTGCCAAAACACCATTCCTGGGACCCCCACGCCGCGGATCACAATTTCTGTTTCGTCTTGACGATCCAGAATCCAGAACACCATTCCTGGGTCTCCAACACCGCGAATCAACGTAACTGCCGCGCCCTGACATTCCGCCATCGTACCAAAGCACCGTTTCTGCGACGTAGGCCGTGAGAATCCTTCAATCTGCTGCAAGCTCTTAAGACGAATGTGCGCAGCGCTACGGCGAGAACAACATTTTGAAAAAGAGCCGCCCTCCATCCGTGAAATTCCTTGCGAACCTTTAACCGAATGTATGCGCGGCGCAAGAACCAGAACCACATTTCGAAAACGGACCGCCCTCCATCCGTGAAAAGCAAATGAAAGCGGCGCTAAAGCGAGAACCACATGTTGACAACGACCTGCCCTCAATCCGTGAAGCTCTTGCAATTTTTCAAAGGGATGAACGCGGCGCTAAAGCGAGAACCACATTTGAAAACCACCCGCCCTCCATCCGTGAAGCTGTTGCAAGTTGTAAGCTTCAATGTTGTAAACGGTGCAGGAATCTCAGGCGAAACGCTCAGCCCGCCCTTTCGGCCGGCCTCGGGGTGCGACAGGGAGGAGTTATTTATAAGGGAGGGGGATGGAGGAGGAGGAGGACCAGTGTAAACACAAGACGCACCAACGATGTTGCAATACACCCTCCTTCCCATTTCCTTGTCCATAGGTCCATGTAAGAATTCAGTTTCACTGTAGGACGTGGCCCATTGAAAGATACCCGTCCGAGTAACTCAACATGAACGACCCACGAACCCAGAAAGGGATATAGAAATGTTCAGCATGGCAGTTTTTCAAATGCTTACTTTGGGCGATGGGGATACGCGACTAGTGCCATACTCAATGTAGAGATGGTGATGTGTTGTGCCCGGGGCTGTGATGTGCTGTGCTGTGATGAACGAAGACGCGTCATGCCGCGCTGAATTGCTGTGCTCTATTTTATTTTGGATCAGGTCGTCGGTGGCGTCAGAAGCCAGATCGAACTGATCTGGATCTTAAGCTCGAATTGCCTGAACGCATGATTCAGATCTGGCCGCCATCGAAACTCGCGGGGCTCTCGACCAGCTCGAGTCAAGATCCGATTCAGTTCGGAAGCGGAACGAACCGACAGGGGGCGAATCTGAACACTTCTGTGCTCTGTTGCGTCGTGGATCCAATCTTCTCTGGCACCCGAATCCTGACATAATTGAGCTGGGCCTCAAGCTCGAGTTGCCTGGGCGAATTGTTCGCCCAGAGTTGATTACAACCGAGAACTTATTGAAATATTATGTTTCGCAACAGGTCGAAATGATAATGACGAGTCCAAACCGAGGCGACGTGCATCGAGAAAAGGCGGGCCGAAACGCCGACGTCTACAACGACAGCGGACGGCGCGGTTCCAGCTCGGGGCCGCTATGTTACATATCCACCTGGGTGGCCTGGGCAGGGGAAAACACGTTGTTCCAACTCGGGGCCACCATGCTAGATACCACAATGGAAAATATTGAAGGGGCCCAAGGACACACACATAATACACACAAGTAAAAATATTCTCCATATTTTCCAATATTTTCTGGGTTTCTGTCTTCCCGCCCACTTCCCATATTTTCCCATATTGTCTGGGACATCGAAGATTAATTGTGTCTGTGTGTTTCTTTTCCTTCTGAAATATGGAAAATCACCGACCGAAGGAACTGTGTCAGGTTACTCTGCATCTGGCGTTGATGTGCTGACCTTGTCCGGCCCTTGTGGGCCCCCACGCTGGGGGCGCCCAGGCGACCACGTGTTAGATACCCCCCCTTTGGGTGGCGCGCACACGTGGAACCACGCAGTTCCAGCTCGGGGCCATACTGTTAGATGCTCGTCTGGTTGGCCTGGGCATATGAAATCGCGTGGATCCAGCGAGGAGCAGGAGGCAACCATCGTAGATACCTGTCTGGGTGGCCTGCACACGTAAAAACATGTGGTTCCAGCTCGTGAGCACCATGTCAGATACCCCCCTGGGTGGCCTGGATACGTGCAAGCACATGGTTCCAGCTCGGGGCCACCATGTTAGATACACCTCTGGGTGGCCTGGACACGTAAAAACACGTGGTTCCAGCTCGGGGCCACCATGGTAGCCCTGGGTGGCCTGGACACGTGAAAATATGTGGTTCCAGCTCGGGGCCACCATGTCAGACACCCCTCTGGGTGGCCTGGACACGTAAAAACACGTGGTTCCAGCTCGGGGCCACCATGGTCGAAATCCCCCTGGGTGGCCTGGACACGTGAAAATTTGTTGTTCCAAGCTCGGGGCTACACTGTTAGACACCCCTCTGGATGGCCTGGACACGTCAAACCACGTGGTTCCAGCTCGGGGCCACCATGTTAGACACCTCTGGGTGGCGTGGACACGTGAAAAACGTGGTTCCAGCTCGGGACCACCGTGTTAGATGCCCCAATGGGAAATCCGGGTAATAACCAGCCGGAGAAGCTGCGTCAAGTTATTACACGTCTGGTGCCGATCATTTACTTTGTCTGGCTCTCGTGGGCCAGACGAGCACATGTCAGATCCCCCCCGTGGGTGGCCCGCACACGTACGAACACGTGGTTCCAGCTCGGGGCAACCATGTCAGATGGCCCTCTTGGCGGCCCTGCCAATCAAAAGCACGTGGCTCCAGCTCGGGGACACAGTGTTAGATACCCAACTTGGTGGTCTGGACGTGTAAAACCACGAGGTTCAATCTCTAGATACCTCCCTGGGCGACCTGGGCACGTGAAAACAAGCAGTTCGCCAGAGACATCCTCTGAATTCTGGTCCCCAGGAGAGGAGCAAACAATAGGACACATCAATCGTTTCGCTCGAGACATCCTCAACAATTTCTGCATAAGAAACGTTTCGTTCAAGACACCCGCAACTTTTTTGATCTGCGGGTGGAGAGCGAGCCTCCTCCGATAGAAGCTAAGCGGGCCACGCACAACTTAAATTAGCAGAGGGGGGGCAAAAGAAGGCGGGGCCTCACGTGAAGGCCAAGAGAGGGCGAAAACCTGGGATCAGGCGGTGCGAAACACCAAGACACCCGCAACAAACGAACATGTATACTTGACCATGTGTTTTTTTATATCGGAATTTCAAACACCAGCGTTTCGCTCTGGACATCGTAACAATGTAGTCGCCGGCCCTACGCGACCTCGTCATTTATCGCAGAATAATTTCGCCGGCCCTACGCAAGTCGAGGCCAAGGTAAAATCGATCAAAAAGAGAACCCTGGGCCCGCGCCACTTCCGGGAAAAAGGAAGGATTTCACCCCACCAGACTCCAAGATGGGGAGATACCTTAGCGGAGCCAGAAACATACAACTCTCCTGGGGAAGGACCCGGCCATCTGCAGGCCTGGGTGTGACAAGGCAGGCGAGACGGAAGAGGGAGAGCTCTCTATGGGACCACGCAACGTGTGAGGGGGGTGCCGAAGTGGGGCGGGGCCGCCATGCGGGCGGTTTCACTGAGGCCTCTGGTGGGGCTTCCTATTTGGCAGGGAAGCGCGGGAGGGGTGTGCCAGAGTGGGGCGGCGCCGCCATGCGGGCGCTGCCACTGAGGCCTCCGATGGGGCTTCATATGGGGCCACGAAGCGTGAGCGGGGTGTGCCAAAATGGGGCGGGCCCGTCATGCGGGCGCTGCCATTGAGGCTTCCGCGAACAAGGTGACGGGGTGTGCCAAAGTGGGGCAGGGCCGCCATGCGGGCGCCGCGATTGGGGCCTTCGGCGGAGCTCCCTGCGGGGCCACGAAGCGTGAGAAGGGTGTGCCAAAATGGGGCGGGGCCGCCCCCATGCGGGCGCTGCAGCTGGGGCCTCCGGGGCCACGAAGCGTGAGAGGGCTGTGCCAAAATGGGGCAGGCCTGCAAGTGTAAATGTATCAGACGAATGTGCGCGGCTCCAAGGCAAGAGCCATATTGCGAAAAAGGACTGCTCTCAACCCGTGAAGCTCTCGCAAATGCTTAGAATGAATGTGCGCGTCGCTAAGGCGAGAATCACATTTTGAAAACCGCCCGCCCTCAATCCGTGAAGCTCTTGCAATTTTTAACAGAGAAGGTTCGCGGCGCTATAGCGAGAACCACATTTTGAAAACCGCCCGCCCTCAAGCAGTGAAACTCTTGCAATTTTCTACGATTCAAGTGCGCGGCGCTACAGCGAAAGCCACATGAGGAGGAGGAGGAGGCGGAGGAGGTGGGGGAGGAGGAGGAGGAGGAGGAGGAGGAGGAGGAGAAGGAGGAGGAGGAGGAAGAGGAGGATGATGATGATGATGTGGAGGAGGAGGAGAAGGCTCTTCTGGGGCCATTTTGGGAGGCGAAGGGCGAAGCCCCTCCGCGCGCCCCAGCGGCCACTGGCCGTCTTGCGGGGGTCCGCCAAAGTGCGCGCTGGACACTTCGTCTCCTCTGTGAGCGGAGCGCCCCGCTGGCCGGATTTGCGGCCGTATGAGAGGAGGGGGAGAGCGAGAAGGAGAAGGATTGAGGAGGGAGGAGGGCAGAGGATGAGGGAGGAAGGAGGAGGACGGATGATGATGATGATGATGATGATGATGATGATGATGATGATGATGATGATGATGATGATGATGATGATGATGATGATGATGATGATGATGATGATGATGATGATGATGATGATGATGAGGATGGATGAGGATAATGAGGAGGAGGAGGCGGAGGAGAAGGAGGAGGAGGAGGAGGAGGAGGACGGGGGAGGAGAACGGAGGAGGAGGAGGCGGAGGAGGAGGAGGAGGAGGAGGAGGAGGAGGACGGGAGAAGGAGGAGGAGGAGGAGGAGGAGGAGGAGGAGGAGAAGGAGGACGAAGAGGATGAGGAGGAGGAGGATGAGGAGGAGGAGGAGGAGGAGGAGGAGAAGGGAAACAGACGAGGAGAATGAGGAGGAAGAGGACGGGAGGAGGAGAAACGGAGGAGGAAGAGGAGGAGGAGGAGGAGGAGGAGGAGGCGGAGGAGGTGGGCAACGGACGAGGAGAATGAGGAGGAGGAGGGGGATCTCCTTGCTTGATGAAGAGGGAAAGAAGAAGAGGACGACGAACACAAGGGGGGGCGGTCGCGGCGCGCGGCAGCTGAGGCAGGCGCGCGCGGCAGCTATCCGAGAGGCCACCTCCACGAAGCGCACCACTGTCTTGCCCGGCCTTGCGCCGAAGTATTCGTCCTCGATCGGGCGGAGGCACGCTAGTGGCGACGCGTGTTTTTGGGCGACGACGACTCGGATTTGCGCCATTTCCGTTGTGTGGAGACTAGTTTCGGGCCTAGGATGAAAATCCGACCATGGTAGATTCGGGTACGGCGCAAGGGCATGCTGATGCTGGTTCTGCGCCAAGGGGGGCTGGAGTGATCGCCGGTCCTCGGGGGGACAAGAGGAGCGAAGTTGCTATGCAACCCTCTAAGGGGTTCGGATTGTTCCATGCCGCATCCTGTATTCACTCATGTAACGTCTGCGTCTCGATGCTTATACAAAGGCAGATGAAGCATGGCGATTTAGCAGGGAGCAATGGGGGCAGGTACATGCGAGGGGGAGGTGAATGTAATATTATCCTAAGCAATGCTTGCACTCATAATTTCTGATTTATCTCAAAAGTAACGGGCTGTGTCTGCTGGAGCTTCGCCAGGGGGGGGAACGATAGGGGGGGCTGGCTCAGGGGTGAAACATTGAACCTGAATCGGCGATACGCCGCCGATAGTCGGCGAGAAGTCCCCCACAGCGGAGCCGCACCTTCCTGGGCGGGGTGGGCTACCGGGCCTCTATCGGCGATGAGTGGGCGATGGGGGGTCGCTGCGTCCTCCCTTGAGCCAGCCTATCCCCACTCTTACAGTGCCCCTGGCCCCCGATGCCCCGACCCCCCGACCCCTCGTGGCGGGCTGGCGTCAAGAGCCGCGCCGTTACGGCGGCTCCCGACTGGCAGGCGACGGTTGCGGCGACGACGACGGCCTCGGTCACGAAGGCGGCGACGGCCCCAAGAGGCCAAAGTCCTTCAAAAACGGGTGGACAATCAATGATTTGTGCCTTCTCGCCTTGTCGCTTCCGATGGGCTTCTGAGGCCCCGGTATGGCCCCAAGCTGGCCCAAGAGAGCTCCAAGATGGGCCCAAGAGGCCCCCAAGACGGCCCCCCAAAGCGCCCAAGACCGCCCCAACAGCGGCGGCGACGACGGCGACTGCGGCGACCGCGGCGGCGACGGGCCACGAAGGACGCGCCAATGCGACGGCGACCGGCCGTCGTCCAGCGCCGCGCCGTCGTAGCGCCCCCCGAACGGCACGGCCGCGGCGGCCGCCCGCCGCGGGGCCACGGCACAGCAACGCCGCCGCCGCCTCGCGGGGGGGGGGGGGCGGCCGCCGCCGCCTCGCCGACGCCACGGTCTGACGACGCCTCGGAAGCTCTTTGTGCAGTGGAAGGTGGTGGAGGAGGGGGTGGTAGCAGGCGGGTGTGTGTGTGTGTGTGGAGGGGCTGAGTTAGGTTGGTTGGATGGACCCTTGTGGATCGATTGTGGGTCCAGAAGGGGGGAGACACGGGAAAGGAAGGGAGGGGGGAGGGGACTTTGTGGTGTGTGTGTGGATGTGTGTGTGTGTATGTATGGATGTGTGTGTACCACATTTTTCACGTCGTTTCGGCTCCACCCGCCCATGGTTGCCACAGCGTTGGCGGCGGTGGGCTTGCCCTTCAACGGTGGCGTCCGTGTTGCACGTTGGCCACGCGCGCGCCTGTCCACCACCCATGGATTTGCCTGCGCTGTCCACCACCCAAGTGCGCCACCGCGTGAAGAGGTTGCTGTCGCGGTCGCCCGCGTTCAGCTTTGCTGTCTGTCCTGGCTTTGTCTGCCTCGGACGCGCGCGTTTCTTCGCGCTACTTGCGCTTGTGCGGCATTTTGTCGTGTCTGTTGAAAGCCTGGTGGCGTCGCTTGTCGCGCTGGTGCGCGATTCGCGTCGCCGCCCCGCTGGCTGGTCTGGCAGCCTTGCAATGCTTTTTCGCCCCAGTGGCTGATAAGCACCAGACTGCTGCTTGCGCTTCAACTCCTGGCGCCGAGCCACGCTCCGCGGGATGATTGGCCGCTGCATTTTGGCTTTGCAGTGCCTCTTTTTCTCACCACCACCACCAATCTGCATGGCCGTGGCTGGATTCTTTCATCACGGCGCGTTCGACTACATTCGTTCGCAATTGGCACCTCCATCAGCCGACCGCGCCTGAAGTTCCCCTGCGCCGCCGACTTAACAACTGTGTGTGTGTGTGTGTGTTTTGGTTGGTACTTCGAAACGCACACGCATAATGCTAACCTTTACCATTATTGTCTTAATTGCAATTCGTATTTCTGTTGTTTGCTATTCAGTCTTCGTTATCTAGTAATAGTGCTGCTATTCGCGATTCGTCATGTTTTCCATTCGATCAATCTTATTATTACTGTGACTATTATTATCATCATTCTTCGTATTCGTGCCATCATCAATCATATTGATGTTATAAGTGCTCGTACTGTTGTTGTTGTTGTTGTTGTTGTGGTTGTGGTTGTTGTTGTCGTTGTCGTTGTTGTTGTTGCTGCTGCTGTTGTTGTTGTAGTGCGTAGTATGATAAGTATTATCATCATTCCTCTTCTTCTTTGATGCTTCTTCCAGTTATTAGTATTATTGCCATCATTGTTATTATTTATATTTCTTCTTGTTGTTGCTGTTGGTATTCGTCTTATCAACATCTATATCCGTATTCATATTATTACTATTTCCCTCTCTCGCTGGGGGGGGGGACGGAGAGAGAGAAAGCAGGGAGGAGGGGGATGGCGCGCGAGGGAGGCAGCCGAGGCACTTATCTGACCCGCGCCGAACCTCGGCCACGCCAGGGAGCTCCCCCGCCTCTGGGCTCGAGGCGCGGCCCGAGAGAACCAGGCAGGGCCCTCCCGGCAGGCCGAGGAGATCATCGTGCCAGGCGCCCTGGCCGTGCGGGTCAGGCTGGCCAGCGGGCGCCGAGCCCCACAGCCACGCCATGGGCTCCCCCACCTCTGGACTCCAGGAGCGGCCCGAGAGCACCGGGCAGGGCCCTCCCTGGAGGCCGAGGCGATCCGCACGCCAGGCGTCCCGAGCGTGCGGGGTCACGCTGGCCAGCGGGCGCCACCCGCGCCCACCTCCTGCCCCCCCCATGGCGCGAGAGTCGGCGCCAGCACGGCTGGATCTCGGGACTGGCGTGCGCGCCCGCGCGAGCGCGCGGGGCCCCGCAGCCGGCGGCGCGGCGGAGGAGCGCGCCGCGCTCTTTGCGTCGCAGCGCGGCAGAGGCAATCCGCGCGCGCGCGCTGCTCGAGCGGCCCCGGCGACGGAAAAAGTGCGAATCAGCCGGCGGCGGGCGGAGGAAGAAGGCGGAAGCGGCCGCGGCTGCCCGCTCCCGCCTGGGCCCCTTGTCGGGCGGCTGGGCGGCAGAGTGGGAGTGTACACCGATAGGGAAGAAGGGTGGGATGGTGACAAGTTTGGGCACCTTTCTGGACTTCTTCGGCCTCTACGGGGGCTCTCATTGCTACGGCTGGCTCTGCCTTGAAGCCCTGGTCAGAACGCTCTCGGGGGATTGTCCAGGGATCGGCTCGAGGGAGGAGATGGGGGAGGAAGGAGTTGGGAGGTGGACGCTGCTTGGGAGCCTGCTTGGGGTGGTGGGGGGGGGCGCGCCTCGCGCCTCGCGCCCCCCCACCCTCTCCGTTCGAGCTCGCCCGCAGCGCGCTTCGCCTGGCCTGCCGCGCGGCGTCCTGCAGGCACGCACGGGCACGCGCGCAGCACCCGTGCCCCGCAGGGCTCGGGGACAGCCCAGCGCGCCCGCCGCCAGCCGCTCAAGGGGCAGCGGGGGCCCGCGCCGAGCCGGCTCCACCCCGAGGCGATCCCTGGCCGCCTCTCGGCCTCCTGTCGGCCGCGGGGCCCTGCGCGCAAGCCTCCCGGCGGCGGCGGCGGCGGCGGCGCGAGCACAGACAACAGGCGGCCCAGCGCCCTGCCAGCCGGCGGGCGGTGGCCGCGATCGCGCGCAACTCCTCGAGGTCGATCGGGCCGTCGCCGTCGAGGCCCACGGAGAGTAAGTCCCCCCCGGCCGCCTCGAAAATGAGGCCAGCGTCACTTGTGGACCGCACCTGGAGCCACTCGGCCGCCGAGATGAAGCCGTCCCCGTCCATGACGTAGAGGCCCTGCGTCGCTTCCTGGCTTTCCTCGCCCAGCGCGAGGTGGAGGAGTATGAGGCCCATCGAATCACAAGAGCGGGAGTATGAGGAAGTGGAGAGGAGGAGGGGGAGGAGGACGAGGAGGAGGAGGAGAAGGAGGAGGAGGAGGAGGAGGAGGAGGATAAAAAGGAGGAGGAGGAGGAGGAGGAGGAGGAGGAGGAGGAGGAGGAGGAGGAGGAGGAGGAGGAGGAGGGGAGGAGGAGGAGGGGAGGAGGACGAGGAGGAGGAGGAGGAGGAGGAGGAGGAGGAGGCGGAGGAGAAGAGGGCGGAGGAGAGAATGAAGGCGGGGGAAAAGGGGGAAGGACGAGACGAGCACGCAACCGCCCAGTGGAGGCGAGCCTGACCTGGACGCGCTCCCCGCCCTCCGAAAGGACCCCGCACTGTGCCGCACATGTCGTTGCGCCGTGTCGGGCTGAAGCCGCCGAGGATGGCTCAGGACGCCTCCTGCTCCAGCCAGCTCTCGCCGCGTGGCTCCAGTGCTCCCGGCGGGATCGGGGCGACTGGCTCCTCTGCACGCGTGCCGCTCGCCGTGCCCGCGTCTGCTCCAGGAGTGTCGGGAGGGGCCTCGGGAACCCGGGGGCACGGCCACAGCGGGGGGGCGGAGGGGCACGGCTGGGGGGGACGGGGGGCGACGAGGAACTGCGCGTGCCTAGAGGCACGGGAGGGGCGGGGCGTTTTTTTTCGGGGGGGGGGACTTAGGAGGGAGGGGGAGGGGAAGCGATGCGCGAGTGAGGAAATGGGAGGGATGGGGCCGGGGAGCAGGGGTACGGGTGCGGGGGCACATCGGAACGACGGGCTCGCCCTGCTTCCCCGGGGGATCGTCCCTGACTCCCCCCCTCCTGCTCCTCATCCTTCGCCGCCTGATCATCCTTCGCCGCCTCCACCTCCACCTCCAACTCCACCGCCGTCATCGTCGCCGTCGTCGTCGTCGTCGTTGTCGTCCTCCTCCTCCTCCTCCTGCAAGGTGGGGTACCGTCTGCCAGCGCGGGCGGCAGTGCACCCCGCCGCCGCAGCCACGCCAGCCGCCCCTGAGCACGGGGCTTACCTCTCGTCCTTCTCCTCGCACCACCCTCTCGTTCTTCTCTCGCCCCTCCCTCCCTTCATCCCTCCTCCTCATCCCTACGTACACCCCTGCCTGGCGTTGAGCTCATGAGAGCGGCCTTCACGCCAAGCGTTCTCTTAAATAGCAGTCCAGGTCCTCGCACCCCCTTCTTGTTCTTCTCTCCTTTCCCCTTCCTCCATCCCTCCTCCTCTTGCCTACGCCACTGCCTAGAGTCGAGGAGCTCATCGGCTAAGAGAATGGCCTTCACGCCAGGCGTTCTCTTAAAGAGCAGTCCAGGTCCAGAGGTATGACGGTTCTACGATCAACATGATCGAACCACGAACCCGGAAAGGAATATAGAAATGTAAGGCATGGCGATGTTTCAAAGACACCTGATTGGGCGACGGGCGAATGCAATGCTGAATGTATCGATCTTGATGTACCGTGCCGAGGGCTGTGCTGTGCTGCGCCTACTGAACTGCGATATGCCATGCCGCGATTGTGCTCTGTAGCGTTGTGGATCGAGTCCTCCTTTGCATTTGAGTCTTGACCGAACTGATCTGGATCTCAAGCTCGAGCTGCCTGAGCACATAGCAGCTGCCCCAGAGCTAATTGACAGAGGGACATGCTAGGGGGACGCGCCACGGAACGTCCCAAGGGACGCGCCAGGCGACGTGCCAGAGGACGTGCTATGGGGACGCACCGCGGGACGTGCCAAAAGGACGCGCTACGGACCGTGCCAATGGACGTGCCACGGGACGTGCCAGGGGACGCGCCGCGCGACGTGCCAGGGGGACTTGCCACAGGACGCGCCACGGCACGTGCTAAAAAACGTGCCAAAATGCAATGCTGAATGTATCGATCTTGATGTACCGTGCCGAAAGCTGTGCTGTGCTGCGCCGTGCTGACCTGCGATGTGCCATGCCGCGATTGTGCTCGATAGTGTTGTGGATCGAGTCCTCCTTTGCATCCGAGTCCTGACCGAACTAATCTGGATCTCAAGCTCGAGCTGTCGAAGCACATAGTAGCTGCCCCAGAGCTAATTGACAAGGGGACATGCTAGGGGGACGCGCCGCGGAAAGTCCCAAGGGACGCGCCAAGCGAAGTGCAAAAGGACGTGCTATGGAGACGCACCGCGGGACGTGCCACGTCACGTGCCAAAAGACGTACCAAAATGCAATGCTGAATGTATCGAGCTTGACGTACCGTGCCGAAAACTGTGCTGTGCTGCGCCGTGCTGAGCTGCGATGTGCCATGCCGCGATGGTGCTCGATAGTGTTGTGGATCGAGTCCTCCTTTGCATCCGAGTCCTGACCGAACTGATCTGGATCTCAAGCTCGAGCTGTCTGAACGCATAGTAGCTGTCCCAGAGCTAATTGACAGGGGGGGCATGCTAGGGGGACGCGCTGCGGAACGTCCCAAGGGACGCGCCAGGCGAAGTGCAAAGGGACGTGCTATGGGGACGCACCGCGGGACGTGCCACGGCAAGTGTCAAAAGACGAGCCAAAATGCAATGCTGAATGTATCGAGCTTGATGTACCGTGCCGAGGGCTGTGCTGTGCTGAACTGCGATGTGCCATGCCGCGATTGTGCTCGATAGTGTTGTGGATCGAGTCCTCCCTGGCATCCGAGTCCTGACCGAACTGATTTGGATCTCAAGCTCGAGCTGCCTGAGCACATAGTAGCTGCTCCAGAGCTAATTGACAAATCAACATGCCAAGAAGACACGTGCCAGAGGACATGCCACGGGGACGTACCGCGGGACGTGCCAGAAGGACGCGTTACGGAACGTGCCAATGGACGTGCCACCTCATGCTAGACATCCGCCTGAACGAACTGGACACGTGAACACAATTGGTTCACTCGCGACATCCACAACCCATCTTCATGTTAGACGTCCGTTCCAGGCGCCCAGGAAGGCCATGTTAGATACCTCCCTGGGTGGCCTGGACATGTTGAAGCACCTGGTTCAGCCATGTTAATTGCCCCCCCCCCTCCCCCGGGCGGCCTGGGCACGCGGTTCCAAATCGGGACAATCATGTTAGATACCCCCCTGGGTGGCCTGGACATGTAAACACACGTGGGACCAGCTCTGGGCAACCATGTTAGATACACCCATGGGTGGCCTGGACACGTTAAAACACGTGGTCCTTGCTCGGGGCATCGATGTTAGATACCCCCCTGGGTAGCCTGGACACGTCAAAAAACGTGGCCCTTGCTCGGGGCAATCATGTTAGATACCCCTCTGGGTGGCTTGCGCACGTAGCAACACGTGGTTCAAGCTCGGGACAACCATGTCAGATCTCCCCCTGGACATGTAAAAAAACCTGGCTCCAACTCGGAACCAACATGTTGAAAACCACCCTGGGTGGCCTGGACACGTGAAAACACGGGTTCCAGCTCGGGGGAATCATGTTAGATATCCCCTGGGTGGCCTGGGCATGTAACAACACGTGGTTCCAGCTCGGGACAACCATGTTAGACACCCCCATGCGTGGCCTGGATACAATAAATTCGCGCTCCCGCTCGGGACATCCTCGCAATGTCTTCCCTGGAGAGGCCCCCAAAGTGCCACCCCTGTCCAGAGCAAGAACACATCACTTTTCTGTGTTGGGTAGCGCTTTTCGGCCCCCCCGTGCGTTTCCTGATAGTTCGGCGTTGGGCCCGACGCCATGTTAGATATCCCCCTGGGCGGCCTGTACACGTAAAATCACGCGGTTCCAACGCAGGACCACCATGTTAGATACCTCCCTGGGTGGCCTGGACACGTAAAATTACGTGGCTCCAGCTCGGGACCACCATGTTAGATACCTCCCTGGGTGGCCTGGGCATGTTGAAGCACCTGGTTCAGCCATGTTAATTGCCCCCCCCCCCCTCCCCCGGCGGCCTGGGCACGCGATTCCAAATCGGGACGATCATGTTAGATACCCCCCTGGGTGGCCTGGACATGTAAACACACGTGGGACCAGCTCTGGGCAACCATGTTAGATACACCCATGGGTGGCCTGGACACGTTAAAACACGTGGTCCTTGCTCGGTGCATCGATGTTAGATACCCCCCTGGGTAGCCTGGACACGTCAAAAAACGTGGCCCTTGCTCGGGGCAATCATGTTAGATACCCCTCTGGGTGGCTTGCGCACGTAGCAACACGTGGTTCAAGCTCGGGACAACCATGTCAGATCTCCCCCTGGACATGTAAAAAAACCTGGCTCCAACTCGGAACCAACATGTTGAAAACCACCCTGGGTGGCCTGGACACGTGAAAACACGGGTTCCAGCTCGGGGGAATCATGTTAGATATCCCCTGGGTGGCCTGGGCATGTAACAACACGTGGTTCCAGCTCGGGACAACCATGTTAGACACCCCCATGCGTGGCCTGGATACAATAAATTCGCGCTCCCGCTCGGGACATCCTCGCAATGTCTTCCCTGGAGAGGCCCCCAAAGCGCCACCCCTGTCCAGAGCAAGCTTTTCGGCCCCCAGCGTGTTCGGGTAGCGCTTCTCGGGTAGCGCCACCCCAGCGTGTTCGGGTAGCGCCACCCCGGCGTGTTCGGGTAGCGTTTTTCGGCCCCCCATGCGTTTCCTGACAATTCGGCGTTGGAGGCCGACGCCATGTTGGATACCCCCCTGGACGGTCTGGAACGTAAAACACGTGGTTCCAATTCGGGACAATCATGTTAGATATCCCGCTGGGTGGCCTGGGCACGTAGAACACGTGGATTCAGCTCTGGGCAACCATGATACACCACTGGGATGCCTGGACACGTTGAAATGCGTGGTCCTTGCTCGGGGCAACCATGTTAGATACCCCCCTGGGTGGCCTGGACACGTTAAACACATGGTGCCAACTCTGGGCAACCATGTTAGATATACCCCTGGGTGGCATGGACATGTTAAAACACAAAGTCCTT